AGTGCAAAAAACAGGAATGCTCTGCTAAAGTCAAAATATGTGAAATGGGTCTAGATTGCAAAGAAGGGGATTGTAAACAAACCTGCGGTGCTGAAAAATGTAATCTAACCTGCAGTGGGGGAAAGTGTAAATTACAAAAGTGTCATGATGAAGGAGAATTTTGTGCAATGGATCTGGAATGTAGCGTAGGGGATTGTGAACAAACTTGTGATACTAAGACATGTAAACTGAACTGCAGTGGGGGAAAGTGCAAAAAACAGGAATGCTCTGATGAAGTAGAAATATGTGAAATGGGTCTAGATTGCAGGGAAGGGGATTGTGAACAAACTTGCGGCGCTGAAAACTGCTATCTGACCTGCAGTGGGGGAAAGTGTAAGTTACAAAAGTGTCATGATGAAGGAGAATCATGTGCAATGGATCTGGAATGTAGCGCAGGGGAGTGTGAACAAACTTGCGATGCTGAAACATGTAAACTAAACTGCAGCGGGGGAAAGTGCAAAAAACAGGAATGCTCTGATGATGTAAACATATGTGAAATGGGTCTAGATTGCAAAGAAGGGGAGTGTGAACAATCTTGTAGCGCTGAGAAATGCAATCTGACCTGCAGTGGAGGAAAGTGTAAATTACAGAAGTGTCAAGAAGAAAGAGAGTCATGCGCAATGGATCTGGAATGTGGCGAAGGGGATTGCGAACAGACTTGTGATGCTAAAACATGTAAACTAAGCTGCAGCGGGGGAAAGTGCAGTAAACAGCATTGCAGCAATAAAGTAAAAGTGTGCAGCATGCATTGTAGCGCTATCGATTGTACACAAACGTGCGACAGTCCCACATGCCACATAGTAAGAAGCTGGCCTAACAATTCTCAGGGTGGGGTCATATGTTCTGGGAATGGTAGATGCTGTGGAAGTCTCATGCCTAATTACCACTCATTACCTTTCACGAAGGGAGTCTATCATACCCTCTGTGACTGGGGTAAACACTGCAGGTGCACTAAATGTCTAAATGGCTTCTGTAGCACTTCAGATCTATACAGCTCGAATATCATCACACCTGCCTTTTCTACAACAGATCAAGTTTTCTCAACTGAAATTCAAACAGTACAACGAACACGAAACTCCTATACTTCTTGTGAGTAAAATCAAATAAGTGAATTCTAAATAGAAATTTTTTTTACGTTGGAGTGTTCGCGGCTCTTATGCACTTTTTTAATGGTTCATAAACTTATGCCTTACGATAACTTTCCAATTTTGGTTTTAATTTCATTTTGATAATTTGCTTTTTCCTCAACATTCAGCTCTTTTGCAATTATCGTCGGCGTCACTGTTACCTTTACTTTTACCATCACCATTACTATCGTCTTCAGCATCGTCATTAGGTGTAGAAGCATCAGAAACGGCAGAATCGGAATCAACCTCATCATCAGAGTCAGCCCAATCAGAATTAGTATCAAAAAAATCATCAGTATCTTTATCATCACCATCTTTGTTGCTAGCAGCAGCAGTATCGTCATTAGGTGTAGAAGCGTCAGAAACTGCAGAATTAAAATTTAACCCATCATCAGAGTCAGTATCAATAAAATTATCAGTTTCTTTGTCATCAACATTATCATCGCAAGCAGCAGCATCGTTATTTCCGTCACCATCGTCATCTCCGCCATCATCAACTTGGAATATTCCGTCATTGACATTGGAAGCACTGAAGAATTTGGTAGGCACATGAGTATTGTAATTCCTCTTTCTCTTCGTAATTATAATTACCATAGCCTCTGCCAATCGCCAACCTTCTCGTGTTTCTTCACCACAGGCAAATGACTCTATTTCTAAACTCACTGAAATAGATATCAAGAGAAACAATTCTTTGAAGGTATGATTGCACGTATTGCTCATCTGTCACATGACTCATATAATATTTAGATATTAAATATGCAATAGCTTCAAAAATGACGTCTCCAACTGAACGCAGCAATTCGTAAGCTTCAAAGGTCTTTTAA